GAACTGGTTTTTTGAAGATGACAATGAGGCCACTGTACTCAAATGTCCACAGTCACCAGATCCAACAGAACACCTTTGTGACGTGGTGGAATGGGAGATTTGCATCATGGATGTGTAGCTAATAAATCTGCAGTAACTGTGTGATGCTATCATATCAATATGGACCAAAATCTCAGAGGAATGCTTCCAGTATCTTGTTAAATCTATGCCACAAAGAATTAAGGAAGCTCTGAAAGGACTTGCAATTTCAAAGTTTAGCTGATGAAGTGGATGGTGTCTATATATACACACTCTCTATATACTATATAGTCCTCTTAATCCTGTTGTCATGTTGAAATATGGGCTCTAAGTTGCTTCAAATCATCAATTTGGCTCAAATATCATAAAAACCTTACAGATAAATTTAAAGATCTATTCAAAAAGTGCACAAATAAAACAAATATTATTGCAAGACAAAGTTAACTTTATTTTCTCTCCGATTTCATAGAAAGCTTACAAAAATGGCAGAAGTTCCTTAAAATAAAATACATTAAGTATATTGAATAATAGCAAACATATCCTAAATCAACATCAGTGCTCAAATGGACAGCTTGAAAACACCTTGCCCTTTTCACATCCACCCACTAGAGGGCAGTAACCAACTGCAGTGAAACACACTTCCCTCCTCTCTAAAGTGAGCACCCGTTTGCCTGTGGTTCGCTCATGTTAGAGAGGTTTTCATATTATTTAAAACAAATCGTTTTCAATGGGGAGATAGCACATGTCACAAAAAAGGACCAGGCAGAAAAAAAGTACAACACACACAGGTACTATGCTTTGTTTTGCCTTGTTAAATATTGATTTCTCTGAAGAAGAAGAAGAAAAAGATGATTTTGGTTTCCCAAAACAGACTTGGTCTTTTCTACTTCTGCTCAACTGAATGCATCTCCTATGCAGTGTTAGTGCTTAGAGGCTCTGTGCTGTGCTGAGGTAGATAATTATCATGACAGTTAGGAACAGGCGCTAAGTTTCACTGTGGGTCTTTCTGCGATTGCGGTCTCCCTCCAGCCAGTATGCCTCCGTCTGCATCTCCATCAGTCTAGAGATTGTCCTCTGGAAGGCAAAGATCTCCTCCTCGGCTGTGAAGAGGGTAAGTCGCTCTGCTGCCTTCTGAATAGACGAATCAACACCAGAGTTGGCAACTTGTATACTCAAAAGAGAAATGTTTATGCAGCAGGGGAGAAAGATTAAATCATCGGGCTAATGAGTGTAGAGTCATCTATTTAATCTCCAGCCTGTACATCTGTGTGTAAATATGTGAAAGTGAATACTGCATTTCTGTAAAAAGGATCTAGATCTTAGTGAATTCTTCCTTAAAACAGAGAAATTGAGGACACAACTTCAATAGCAGTAACAAGCCAGTTTGTTATTAAACTAAAAAAATAAAATAATATAGTGATATCCGATTCAACGGGATAAATAACAGAGATGTGACCTTACCTCACTGAGGCCTAGCTCATCCAGGAGCTGCCGGTCCCTCTCATCATCTCCTCCAGTGTGGACAAAGAGCCGGTCCAAAGGAGCATCTGCCAGCAGCACCACCCTCACCTTGGACAAGGGGGCAAGAAAGAGCAATGTGGGAGTTACTGTCTATAACATTAAGGGCTAAGTGTCTGTTTACTGGTAGCTTACTCATACATTCATTCCCTGTCTTGAATTATTGGATTTAAATGTTATTGTGGGACGTGTTATTGTCTCATTAGTGTGATAAAAGTGCTCTCATTCACAATCCCAAGGTTTCTTCCTGTTAAGAGTTTTTCCTTCCCACTGTCACAAAGTGCTTGCTCACAGCGGGTCGACTCTTTGTTGGGGTTTTCTCTGTGTCACTGTAGGGTCTTTACCTTACAATTTAAAGCGCCTTTAGGTGATTGTTGTTGTGACTTGGTGCTACATAACTAAAATTAAATTGAATATAATATGGGGTTAAAAGGTAACAAGTCAGTGAGTATGAAGTTACCTGTTATGAGGCTGGCACAGTGTTGAGGGGTTTAGCTTTTGTAGTAAATACTTTTTTCAGTGCTGAATAGAGTATTTTGCAACCCCCCCAATCAAACAAATGAAAAACTGTGTGAGTGTGATAGTAGCCCTACTGGAGCCTGACTGATATATTTATTGTCCAAAATAATCCTAATGATGATGTTGGCCTATCACAGGTACCTATATTGGTGTATATATTTCCATTACCAGGTCATTAGCTGGGCTTCAATCACTTTCACTGTACCAAAAGATAATGTGGCACCAAAAGCTGGTAAAGTAAAAATTTCCTACCTGTAGCCAGCAAACAAAGAAGACTCTTACATAAAAAATAAAAAAAATACCAACACGCTTCTCTGTGTGTCTGGGTAGGACTCCAGCTGCTGATTCCATTCATTGCCCTGGACTGCGAGCAAAAGAAAGGCAAGAATCGGCCTGAAGCAAGAGAGCCCACTGACTGTGGCTTACAGAAGTCTGCCTGAACAGGATAAAAGTGACAGGTACTTGGATGTGTATGTCCATCAGCAAGACTGTCAGGAGAGTGTAATACAAATTCAGTTCAGCTACGAAGGAGTTCCAAATTTCTGATCCAAGGCCAACAAAGAGACTGAAAAGAGATGTTTGTGGATGATTAGGAATAATACAAAGCGCCTCTGATGGTTGACATGGAAACTGGATGACATGGAAACCCACTGTGGAAAATGCCACAAGCAAGACTCACCTTTCATCACAGGGCAACAAGCTAAACCTGAAACCTCCATAGAGCAGCACCAATGCTAACATCCAACACAACCTGTCAGGGTGCAAGACTGCAGTGACCCAAGGGAGCATATACATGGAGGCATGACTAGCTCCACGGTTGACACCTCATTCAATTTATCAAGCCAGGAGAGTGACGTAGCAACATGACATCACAAGGCATCCCAAGACCCCTTTCTCCAGGAGAGGATTGGGGCAGTAGGGTTATCTTGATATACGGCTTCAGTAGCATTCATATATCACCAAAGATCACCACAACATACTCATATTTATCCAGATCTCTGGACAGATTCTGCCAAGGCTGCTTTTCAGTGTTCAGGATGCTCATAAGCGTACCACGATTAAACATCCAAAGCTTCAGAGAGTCAGACTGGACCACTGTCAAAGGTGGAGTATGATGGCCTTTAGCAGCATGTCACCAACACAGCTGTCTAGATGTAGGTGCACCCAGGTGGAAAAAACTCTGTGGAAGCTCTAATGTTCCTCCTCCTTCTCATTTAATGGTATTACTTAATTTTTACTACTTTGTACATTGTAGATACATACTGAAGATGTCAAATACATGAAACAAGATATATGGAATTATGTAGCAAAGAAAAAAAAGATAAATAACTATAAACTAAATATGTTTTATATTTTAGATTCCTCAGAGTAGCCACCCTTTATTTGTTGACAGCGCTACAAACCCTTGGTCTTCTCTCAGTGAGCTTCATGATGTAGTCACCTGAAATGGTTTTCACTTCACAGGTGTACCTTATCAGGGTTCATTTGTGGAATTTCATGCCTTCTTAATGGGGTTTGGACCATCAGTTTTGTTGTGCAGAAGTCAGGGTGGTAAACAGCGGACAAACCTATTTGACAACCGTTAGAATTCATATTATGGCAAGAACCAATCAGCTAAATAAAGAGAAATGACAGCACATCATTACTTTAAGAAGTGAAGGTAAGTCGATCCAAAAAATTGCTAAAACTCCGAACGTGCCCCCAAGTGCAGTCGCACAAACCATCAAGCACTACGATGAAATTGGCTCACACGAGGATGTGAGCCAATTTCTTAGGATGAATTCATGCTGAGGATGAATTAATTTGAGTCACCAGCCTCAGAAATCGCAAGTTAGCAGCACCTCTGATTAGAGCCCAGAGAAATGGCACACAGAGTTCCAGTAGCAAACACATCTCTACATCAACTGTTCAGAGGAGACTGTGTGCATCAGGCCTTTATGGTCAAATAGCTGCCAAGAAGACACTACTAAGGAAAAGCAATCAGCAGAAGAGATTTGTTTGGGCCAAGAAACACAAGGAATGGAAATTAGACCAGTGGAAATCAGTACACTGGTCTGATGACTTTGGTTCCACATGCTGTGTCTTTGTACGATGCAGAAAAGGTGAACGGATGGTCTCTACGTGAATGTTCCCAACGTGAAGCATGGAGGAGGAGGTGTGATGGTGTGCAGGTGCTTTGCTGGTGACGCTGTTGGTGATTTATTCAATATTGAAGGCACGCTGAACCAGCATGGCTACCACAGCATCCTGCAGCGACATGCCATCCCATCCCATCCCATCCGGTTTGCGTTTAGTTGGACAATCATTTATTTTTCAACAGGACAATGACCCCAAACACACCTCCGGGCTGTGTAAGGGCTATTTGACCAAGAAGGAGAGTGATGGAGTGGAGCTCTGGACTGTTGGAAAACCATTTAGGTGACAACCTCATGAAGCTCATTGAGAAAATGCCAAGAGTGTGCAAAGTAGTAATCAAAGCAAAGGGTAGCTGTTTTGAAGAATCTAAAATATAAAACATGTTCTGAGTTATTTCAGACTTTTTTGTTTACTACATAATTCTATATGTGGTAATTCATAGGTTTGATGCCTTCAGTGAGAATCTACAATGTAAATAGTCATGAAAATAAGAAAAAACATTAAATGAGAAGGTGTGTCCAAACTTTTTTTTAGTGTATATATATTGTTGGAAGCCAAGAGTAGAGTATTTTATATTACACACTCTTGGTTTTGAACTGAGATGTCCAACACATCCAACACTTTTATAGATGCAATGTAGGAAGATTTCTAAAAGTTGTAAATAAAGGCAGAAAAGCTGCATTAGAAATCCTTCGGTAACACATGAGTGTAATAGAATCCATGCCTGTCATTCTTTTTTTTTTTTTTTACCTTTTTGTCATAGAAGTTGTCTATGAGGGTGGTAAAGCGTCTGGCCTGATCCTTCATCGACAGCGTCAGCACGGGAACGCGGCGGATCAATACTGTGTCGAAGAGCCGCGCCATCTCCAGGTAATCGCTGGCACCCAAAGCCTGGAGAACGACAGAGCATGGGAGATACTGAAACAAAGTCAGACCCGAGCTTCAAACAGACAGCACACCACAAAAGAACACATCAAAGATTTCAGCTTTGCACATGTGCACATCTGCTCCATAAATGGATACAGGCACTGTGAATTTCTGCACTCTGCACACATGGCCTGAAAAAATGACAACTGCGAAGTGAGGGCACCTTGTGCAAAAAGGTTCTAGCTGTTGTAATTTTCGTCCTCGTCCTTGGTTCTTTGCCATTCAGGCTGATTGCTCTTAAAATTAATGAGGACTCGCCAACATATGCCAGAGGAAGCCTTGAAGCTCACATGCCTTCTAAAACTCGCCGCTGTCCATCAGGGTTGAGACTTTGCACACACTACACACTTCCTCTTTGAGGCGCAGTGGGCACAACTAATCATAAAAATGTCAATAGACTTTCTTTTTGACATTGAGCAGAAAATACCTCATCCAGTTCAAAGGCCCGGACAATAAACAGAGCATAGAGGTAATACAGGGACAAGAGAAGTGCTTCGAATTTGAGCAGTTCTGATTAGTAATGAGTGGATTTTGTCTGTCTCAGTAGTAAAAAAAAAAAAAAAGAACAAGAAGAAGGATGTGGTTTGACTTTGGTCAGAGGTCACAGGCTGTTTTAAATGCCATCAAGCAGTTCTAATTTGTTCTCTATCTGTATAGCGAGTAACTATTGTGTTAAAGCTAAAAACCAAGAAAAGCTTACCTTAAAACACTCCTTGTTTTTATGTTGCCAAAAGATGTTAAGTGTCGTTATGTATCAGCCTGTTTTGTTGCACAATAATGACAAATTAATCGATCGTAACAATACTCACTCTGCCGCACAGCTCATCAAAAGTACAGTCAGCAACGGTTCCACAGGTCTTTTCTAGAGTCACATCTCTACCCAGCACTGAGAGCACCCGGGGACCTGTAGCTATGGAAACACACACACACACACACACAATGTACAATGGTTACAGTATATACATGTAGTTAGGTTAAAAAGTAGTATATTTATGAAATTTGCTTTACTACACACTTGCGATTTTTGATCTTTTAACCTCTAATATAAGACAAAATAAAAGAAAACATAATGAAAAATATTGTTTACTACTAAAAAACTATTTACTATACAATTAAATCCTAAAATTTCACAGTGTTTAAAAAAAAACACTTTAAGGCCCAGTAATTTTAAAAATCTAAGTTCAAGTCTAGAGTTTGTTTTTAATTTAGAATTGTGCAGCTTTTGTTTTTTCCTGTTGAATTATAACATATAAAAAAATGACATGAAAAGCATCACAAATAGCCCAAAAAATGTATAATTGTATTATCCATGTAGTTTAACCCTGATAAATGTTATTTCTCTGTGCCACAGACTTCTATTGTTGTAACAGACCTATTTAAAGTAGGTGAGTGAGCCGTCTCGTGGGCTTGGGTGACATGAACATTAGCAGTTAAAAAAACCTTCAGCAGAAACACTAGATAATCCTGTATGATTGAAAAGTCATGGTCTTCAAAATCCCCAGCTGTTTCGGGAATTTAAAAAGACAACAACAATAAAATAAAAAAATTAAAATCTATTTTTGAGCCTTAAATACTAAGAAAGGAGAAATGTGAGACAAATTAAGGTAGACATTGATGATTTGTCTAATTGTTATCAACACTGTTGATTTTGGTATTTTCTTTTATCTTTCATATATATAAATATTACAACTTTGACGTGTCCTTGTGTTACAGAAAAAAAGTAAAAAATAATCAATCTTTCTAAAATGCATTGTCTTCCTTAAATGCCCTTACCACTCTTTTGTCTTAATGATAGCTCTTCAAACAGTGCATCCAAGGCCTCTGCACCAGGCTCCCCTGTGCTGCACAACACACATGCACCAGCGCGCGCACACACAGGCAACGAAACAGAAAGGAAATAATAGGATATGAAATTAATAATGCTGAAGTGGCCACATCAAACGGTGGCAGCAAGGAGAGCAGGGGAGAGGGGTACTTAGCTTTTCACTCCATCGGTAAAAAACAGGATGTTAGGCTCTAAACACAAGCATTAGCCTGTGAATACACGTCGAAATGAGATTGTGAAGTGTGTGTGTTCGTGTCTGCGTGTGTGCTTGTGTTTTAACTCCAGGTAAAAGGGTGTGATGTACTCTATTTACATACAGTGAAAAGACGAAAGCACTTGTTTGCCTGCGTGCGCGAGTTCCTAGCAGCGCATATGTAACAAGGAAAATAGAAAACTAGCTTTTAAAGCTCTGCCCTTTTCTCATATTCTATTGATTCCTCTTTTTATTCTTTTCATGGATCTCTCAAGGTAATGCAGGTCTTTATAAACCTCCCAGCCTGCGTCTCCCTCATTTATTCATCTGTTTGCCTTTTCTTTCTGCCCAAACTACATGATGTGCACAAGCATTTCCTGTGTTTGTGTGCGCGTGTGTGTGTTTAATGCAGGTTAATGTCAACTCAACCCAGCCTCCGCACAAACTCTGGGCTGAGGAGGACTATAAAGAGGGAAGCAGAGAGGTAGCGTGCTTGTGTGTGTGTGTGTTTGTGTGTCTTACAGGTAGTAAAGTTTCCCTGCTGCAGCCTCGCCAAGCTTCCTGTAGTCAATCCCTGTGTCTAAGCAGATGGGGTGGCAGTATTCCTGTTGACACACACACACACACACACACACACACACACACACACACACACACACACACACACACACACACAGAGTATACAGTAGGACAAACGTTTAAATTCCAGCATCCACATTAACCTACTTCCATTTAAAATGTGAAGTGTTGTATAGTTTAAAGAAAAAGTCTTTTTGCTGTCTATTGAGGATAACATTTGTCCATGAGCTTGGTGTTATTTGTGCTCTTTTCGCCCCATCATTTTATGTAAATGACTAATTTAGAGACAACTTTTAACATCAGCTCCATTGAGCCCGTGAGCATTTACAGCAGCAGGACATCCTGTGTGACTGACGACAAAATTAAATACAGTTTCCATGTTTGTCACAAGGAGATTTTAATCTTTCTGGACAACACTGACACACCTAACACACCTAATCGATTATTCTTGTCCTTTTATTTGATAAAAAGATAAGGAAAATTAGAGAAATATCAGAACTTTGTACATTTCTCGTTTAGCTCTGATTTTCATATTGGTGATTGCTGATAGAAATGCTAAAACAAATTGCACTTCTTTAGGTTTAAATCATTGTGACAGCTTGATTTGTCTTGATGATGCATTGTTAATATGGCAACACTGTAAAATGAACAATCAGAGCTTTGTGTCTTCACTTCTTTCACACTAAAATGGATACAGAACAACCCTAAAAAGTATTAAATTAAAAAACAAGGCATCGCAGAAGGCAGCCGGCATCTTATCTCCTATCCTCCGACAGCTTTGGGATTTTGTGTCAGCTGTTCTCGGTTTGCCGAGCCGATCCATTGTTCTGCAGCTATTCAAGTGCGTTACAGCAGGGGTGAACCTGCGATGCAGGGTTCAAACTTTTCCACATAGAGTAAAACGTCAACAGGATTCATGTCAGGGAGTACAGCACAAACTATAATCATCATCTCCACTATTCTATCAAAGAAAAGAGAGGAACTGCATATCATCCCATCCAAGCCATCATCGGCTGACTGAGTATTCAGCGACAGCTCCAGTAAATTATGAAATCAGTGAATTTCTGCCACTGGCCTCCTTAAGCTGCAGGATAATTAGTAATCATCACAAAGCAAGGGGACGGAAATACTCTATTCTTCTCTGCTGTCAACTTTTTATCTCCGTGTCCGCTCACACAAACGGGGTTCCCACTCTGAGCCAATTGGCTGAATCAGGCTTAATAACAACCTGACAAACTCGCCCTCCCCGACGCACAAAAGGGAGGTGTCATTTCATCAACCTACTGTGACCCCACCAACGGGTAAATAGTCCCTCCAGAAAAGAAAAAAAAAAGAAGGAAAAAAAAACTTGTCACTATTGCCGCCACATCATTAGTATCTCAGTTTGTCTTTTCTCCTGCCATCTTCAACTCCCTCCCTTTATGAACCTCGTCTCTAACGTACCTACGGTAAAGGCGGCTGTTGCGTTTTCTTGACGGAGGAGCGAGGTGCAAATACGAGAGGGGAAAAGAAGGAGGAATGGAAACACAATCAGTGATGATGATTCCATTGGTTATTTATAATCAGATGAGGCTGAGGCCTCGCGGGTCATTACTTGATTATCCATCTTGAGGGGATTGTCAAGTTCTCACTCCTCTAAGATTTTTATCCGCCTACACATTGTGGTTTTGCAGCCTCCCCGCACCCCGACGCCGCCACCGACATCCTCCTCTCGCGAATGTAGTCAGTCTACTTTGCAACTTTTAAATCTCGTCTTAAACAGTCCCTTCAGTTTAATCGGCGAATGGCGATGTACAAATAGTGGAGTAACAGCTTTTTTTTTCTTTCGTCAGGTGGACGGATAGAAGAGGTGATCGTTTATTTTAAGGAAAAATGATAAAAAATGCGCTCGTGCTGCAAGTTGAGAAAAATATTTAGGTCGTAACAAATTTGTTGGTCACAAGTGTGCAGTCTTTAGTTTATTTTTTATTTAGTAATTTTATAGGCTCACAATTTGATTAATTTATCCATTTGCAATACTTTTAAGTTTTTCTAATGGAATGTTGTAGTATTTTCTAAATGATCACCTCTTTAGATTTTGTCTTGTTAATTAAATTAAAAGAAACTCCGATCTGCAGTTTTTGTTATTTTAATCATTATTAGGACACGTGACAGATTAAACCATAAAAAGAAAAGAAGTGCAGCCCTAAGGTTTATTACCATCAGGCAACAATATTAGCTTTTTAAACTAGTGGTGTAAAAACCTGGCAAACGTGTCGCCGATTCACAGAAAAGCAGCAAATTAAGAGTTCCCCTGCTCGCACAGATGCATTCACCGGCTCAGACACAAGAGAGAGAGATGACAGACATGAGAATCAGAGACTCTTTAGAAGAAAGTCATCCAAACACATGTAGCTCCAATCATGTCATTGTCCGAGCTGTCCACTGCTCTCACTGGACAGCCGTTTAGCATAAAAACAGAGTGGCTTTTTTTTTCTTTTTTTACCCCCCTGCTCCCTCCACTCCCCTCTGTGCCCGCTCCCTCCATGACATATCTTTCTCTATCCTTTACTCCTCAAAAAGTTGCTTTTGAGTTTTTCAAAGAGCGCGGTGCCATTGAGCTGCAACAAAAGCCAAGGATAGCTGACTATTGGGCCCTGATGAGGTCCACTCCCTCATTACCCAGCAGCAGAAAACATTTGATGCTTTTTTTTTTTTTTTTGGCCTGGAGAATTGACCAGGCCTCAAAGAAATGCAGGGTGGGAAGGCTGAAAAAGAGACGGGGGTTGGAGGGGGGTGAGGGGAGGAGGGGAAAGGTTGTCGTTCATTCATCCGTGTGTGTCTTACAGCCTTGTGTGGAGGGACAGGAAAAAAAAAGTGGGAGGTGGCAGGGACAGAGGGGTCGAGAGAGAGGGAGAGAGATGTGTGTGTGTGGGGTGGGGGGGGGGAAGCTTAAAACAGTGCCTTTATGCTGGCAAGTTCTGGACGACTCTTCTGACATCAAAGTGTTTTCACTAACTGGGGAGCTGCTTAGTTAGTGTGTGTGCGTGCACGCATGTGAGCCGGCTGGGGGTGTATCTGGTGATTTTATTCATTCTTGGGCCGTCTGGGGGGGGTACGTGACAATGTGAACACCCTAATTACACCTAATGATCTATTCCCTTAAAGTGTGACTGCCTTGGGCCGGCGATGGATTGTTCTGCAGGGTCGTTCTCACAACCTTCTCCTGCCTCGGCTGCTCCTCTTGGGGAAACATCGTTTGAGTTGGAGGCCCCATCTTTTGTGATCCAGGACCCTACCGGACCCCCCGCTCTCAACCCATCGAGTTTCGTTGGCCCAGGACTGAACCAAAACGGTAACTCGGGCAGTGTGTGCTACCTGCACCTGGCCAACAGAGGCTCCATTTGTTGATCGTGACAGACGCGAGCAAAACATGGGCTCCACACAGTTTATTACAAACATTACACTTGACAAAAATTGCTCCCTGATCATCTTGTATAGTATAAACCTGAAAGACCTTTACAAGATTTCAACAATGTAGCATTGCAGTCTTTTAAACCTGCAGGACTTTATGTGCACAATTAAAAAGGAATCTGCAAAATTAAATAAGAGACTTCATCTTTCTTGTTCTGTGCACTGTGAAAACCTGTCCGTACTACCCCCATCCATCTGAGATTTTGTACCGCTGACTTTGTAAAACTTTTTCTTTTACATATAAGTTAATTCTCCCCAGCACCTCGGTCTCGAGTTAGATTGTGTTCTGTCTTAGTCTGCTGCCTATAAAGATACTGATTAGTAAATAACTAATTATCTGGTGTATTAAAATGGATGCAAATAATTCAAATCTGACATTCAAAAGGGTATTGATGTCAGTAATATACATAAAGTTAGTCTCAGAATAGAATTTCTGTTAGGATCACTGTAGCCAAAAATTGTTACTTCCATGTGCGGTCACTTGTATTTGGTGGTACAGTTCTGTTCTGGGACCTCCTCCTGTGGGCTTTGAAAGCAGCAAGAAGACAACAGAGCAGGCATCAGTGAATAAAGATGTCACAGTGATTCAGTTAGGTAGGGTGAACATGGTTTGCACATGCGACTTTAGTCAGTTTAGTCAGTTTGCCAGATGATGTGGGCTCCCGCTGAGATCAGCTGATCTACTGGGAGAGGAGCTTGACTTTATGTCACTTCTGGGGTGGCTTGACTTCTACTGTTTTCCCTGTTTTCTTGGTTGTCTGTACTGTGACTAGCAAAGGCAAAAACGCACCCCATGAAAGTCGAATTAAGAGACATTTCTATATTTGTACACGCTTACTATTACACATCTGACATCTGAACACTCTGATAGAAAACAGGAAAACATCATTTGCCCAAACGGAACCAAGGTAACTGCCATAATTAAAATTTAGGTAACAATTAGGATCCTGGTTTGATTCTTTGTGCTTAAAAGAAATCGATTTGTCCTATCACCCCTTGTTCAGGTTTCAGAACAGACAGAGAGAGACACTGATATGAAAGAAGTGAGCTTTGCCCTCGAAGCATGCTGCCATTAAATGTTTTAAAAGACAATGACTGTCATCAAATATCAAAATCTATTTGATTTGAACTCTTCCAGCTCTTCACACACGGTCCTTCTTACCAAGGTCTTCAGTGGAGGACCACGTCCCTCTCATTCTTCAGTCTTTCCCTTTCTCTCTTTGTCATTCTGTTTTGATTTATATATTTCATTTTTTTCTCATCACCAACTGCTCAGCACAGAGCCAGTATTGACAGTGACACAAAAAAAAGAGATGAAAAGTGGATCAAAAGAAGGGTTAAAAACGGATAGAAACTCAGAGATACTCAAAGTTGCCTCAGGGTTGTTGTCATGTTTTTCTCCCCTCGGCAGCTTTGTGCACAACTGCAATCGAACAAGTGGAGGGAAAATAAAGTCACTATTCTGCTACCAAAATACAGAGACCTGACCTTGGGTGAGTAAAGCCAGCGAGCAGAACAGGATAGTGATAGAATAAAGAGTGGGGATAGAGGGGTGGAGAGAGAGGATGGGCAATGAAAAGTGGAGTGGAGAGCGAGGACAGTTTGCGAGAGAGAGAAAGAGTGTCTTCGTTACAATACTGGCAGCATCCATTAAAAAAAAAAGAAAAAAAACCCAAACCCTGTATTTCACAAAACTACGAGCTTTGCAGCGGCTGCAAAGAAAAAGACGCCGGAACAACTGAATAGACTCACAAATGGAGTCTACAGAGATGCTACAAAGGACGAGAAATTACAAACGACTGTGTGGATGAAAAATAGCAAACAAACTAAATGATGAACAATAAAAAAATAAACAGCGTCTTCTGGATTAAATGAAGTTGTATGTAGCCCATGCGTTGCAAGTCATTAAATCATTTTTTAAATCTAAAACTGGATGATTGTGGAAGATCGGGAGCTGCAGAAGGAAAGGTGACCCAACTAATCAGAAGTCAACAGTTAGATAAAGACATCATCCGAGGCGGACAAAAGTGGCGGATTAACCCTTACCACTCCGGCTCAGGTGATGAGGGGAAGAGGTCAGAGGCTATTTTTGTATGTTAACACCCTCTTTTCTCTCCTGCACTCACCATAGAAACAAACGCTGGCATGCACATGCGGAGGCGATCTGCGCCGAGTCAGCGGCTGCTCCCTGCGAGCATTCATTCAATCTATTAAGGGTCAGCTAGTTAGCAAGCTTTAACTTTACAGGACAGATCACTATAGAGAATCCATAGCACCCCACCTAAAAAACACCCCCAAACCCTCCAACCAGATGGCCTCACAAAGGAAAACATGGTATCCTGAAAGAGAGGAGCCAGTACGGGGCAGAGAGGGACAGCAGGCATTCAGGACCTTGATGAGGGTGGATTAGAGAGGGCAAGGGTGCTGCTGCTGCTGGGTTAGCAGGTGGGGTGCAGGGTGATTCCAAGAATCTATGCAACTTTTAGTGGGTTTGACTTCAAATGTGTGTGTGTTTAATGTTACAGTGGTTAATGACTCTGGTCAGGTTAGATTGCCTGTATTTTGCACACATATTCACTTTAGCATTTGTAATGCAACAGATTATTTATTATATCAGAGCTAAACCGGAGTTTTAGGGTTAAAAATACTGTGATACCTGAATATATTCAGAGCCAATGCCATGTTAAGTCATTTTATAAAGAACCAAGCCTAAATTAATCTGAGTGACTATGTTCTATATCATGTATTGTATTTCTTTAACAAAATCCTCATCATAGCATGAACAAAAACGAATGCATTTGTTTTCAAAAATAAACCAAAAGTCAATAATAAGGCGTTTACTATTGTATATGTATAATCCTGTGTAAAAGTTCCTATTAAAAGCAAATGAGGCATGCCAAATAATAATGAGAATTTAACAACAATTTCATTCAAAAAGCCACAAAATTCAAGTAGCAGTATGAGTGGCGATTTTCAGCGCACTCACAAGAGAGCATTTATCTACTACTTCATACCAGGAGTGTGCCTGAGCCAGACCTTAGCCGAGCACTGCTTATGTGACTGTGTGTGTGTAAAAAATGTCTGCATTCAAACTAAAGGTCATAATATATAACAAGATATTCTATAGGGAATCCCTAATAAAGTCAGCGTGGTCAACCTGGGGCATTAAGGAAACTCTTAGTTTTGGTAAATTAGAACTTATTATTAATTATTGGCCGTCCTACATAACGAAACAATGGCAGCGCAAGTGGTTTGCATCAGTGTGATTATATGAAACTGGAAGGTTGCACAGCTCAGGTGCCTCATACTTACAGGACTTCATATTGTTCAATTATGAGTTTATCCGGTACGTTTAGTGTCAGAGGAGTGGTTCTCAGTTTTAAATTCTTAATAACGCTAAGCTGCTTACTTTCAGTTCCTATCTTGCCCAAAAAAAATTGCAGCAGTGTCAACGCTTGCCTTTACTATTCAGACAAAATACCAATAAAAGGCGCAAGAATGCTGCCCTCCTCTGTTGCAAAATGCATGACAACAAATTAATATGCAATTATTTATGATCACGATCACTCCAAACACATCAATGATCATCTGGGATGCAGGCAGGATAATGGTGCTACCTGCTTAAATTGCAAAGTAGATTTTTCGCTAGAAATGCTAACCATCACATCGCTCCTCTTCTCCGCTCCACACCCCGCCCACCACCCCCCTCTACTTTTGAAATGCAAGCAGCCTGGGTCAGTCACAGCTAGTCCACCCATCTCCCACTCTCCCATTCACATTACCTGTACCCACTCACACTCTTTTCCATCTCTCTCTGCCTTTCTCTCTCTGTGAGTCTTTCAGTGTGCCCTGGTATGATCAAAGACAGCTTTGTGACACTGTGTGAAGCATCCATGAAGCAGAAAACATCAAACCACTAAGAGCAACTCGCAAAAAGACGGACACAGAGGCATACATGCAAGTGTGTGTCCGTGTATGTCTGCGTGTGCGCGCGAGATAAACAACTGAATAAATTAGAAAGACAAGAGAGAGAGATGACTTTGTCTCTACCTTCAGCACATCGATGAAAGGTAGGAAGGTGTCCCTCTGAAGTCCGTTTTTGTACAGATCTGAAAGAGGAAGGGAGGGCCTGTATTAGAGCTGCTGTTTAGCCTTCTAATAATGTCATCCCCTCGCCACAGATTGGCAGATAAAGTGGCTATTGATGAACTGAAGGATGGGTGGGGAGGCACGACAAAAGGACTGGGACCAGGGGAGAAAAATGGATTTCTCTACCGGCAGCGGCAGCAACATAAAATTCATTACATTCCCAAACAATGGTGGCCAGAGAAAGGACTGTCGCCTTTTCAGCACGGACAATGTCCACAGCAGCTCGCTGAATAGAGGTTTCAATTAGCTCGGCTGGAACAAATTACATCTGAAGTAGCATCCCTGATAGACAGATAAAACAGATAGGGATTCACACACAAACAGGGACAAAGACACACACACAGCGAGGCTCAAGCTCTCTCCAGCTGCAAATGCAAACAAGTGGCCATTGTTGATGTTTGGACTTAAGCTTACTACAGTAGGACCTGACACAAAAATAACCTTTGCTTAATAACTTCTATACTGTAATGGACTGTGCCCTATGAGACTGGAATATGCCAAAGGTTTAAGAAAGAGAGTTCAGTGTTTTGGGACGTGCATTTTCTTCCTTTATTGGTGCAAATACTATGTCTGTGTAGTAAGTATGATTGCTGCTATACCGATGAGAAACTACATAATGTTTAATAAAAAATAATGAAAAAAGAAGGCACACTCTATTTCAACTCTAATATTTTACATGTTAAGATATATTAAAATAATTATCTAGTCCTTGTAGAATGTCCTAAAATGAGGTAAATAAAACCAGATGCAAAAAACAACTCGTGATGCATTACACATGTCATTATTTACTTAACAAAAACTAACCCACGATGCAGAAGCAGTGTGTGAAAAACTAAACATTCACTGCAGTAATTGTGTTAGTAATTGTTACGTTTTGGGGGGGCATTTGTTTATGTACAGCTCTCTTAAGGTCCAACCACAGCATTTAAATCAGGTTGAGATGTGGACTTCGACTGGGCCTTTGCAACACACTGGCTGAAAATGAGAAAATAATCAATCTGTTTTAGATTTGCTGCTGTGCTTGAGATCATTTCTTGTTACAGAAACACATTTCTCACATGTGACTCTAAAATACTTTGGTATACAGAAGAGTTCATGATTGTTCCCAGATCATGTGGCGGCAAAACACCCTTCTCCTGCCGTGCTTGACAGTTGTTATGAGGTGTTTGTGCTGGTATGTTGTGTTTGGATTTCATAAAATGTGCTGTGCAGTATGGTCAAACATTTCCACTATGGTCAAGTCTCTCCAAAGGACCTTTTCTAGAAGTCTTGTGGTTTGTTCAGGTGCAACTCTGGAAACAAAAGCTGTGCTGCCATGCTTTTTTCTTCAGGTAACCCTTCCAAACAAGTCATACTTGTTCAGTTTTTTTCTAACTGTACTGTCCTGGACTTCAACATTTAACATGCTAACCTGTAGAGTCTGAGATTTAGGGCTGGGTTGGGATTTTTGCAGTTTTTCTGAGGTATGCGCAGTTTGAAGAATCTTCCTTAGTGTAGAATAATAAACTTCAAATTGTTTGGAAATGGCTTTATAATTCTTCCCACAGTAAAGGGAAGCAACAGCAATTGCTTCTTTAAGATGACTGCTGATATCTTTCTTTCTGCACTGTATTAACACACACCTGAATGCTCCATACTAGCAAACTGCCAAAACTCTGGCAGACGCTCACACTGATGATCAGTTAATCAACTACATTTGATTAGTAGCACCTGGCCGCTAGTTACCCTACCCTAATTCCTATAGAAACAGTACAATTGTTCTTAATTTTTCAGACAACCCTTCTAAAAGTTTGGCTTGACTTTTAAAAATAAATGCCATATTTTTTGGACCATAAGGTGCCAGATTATAAGGCGTACTGTCGATGAACGGGTCTGTTTTCATACATAAAGTGCACCGGATTATAAGGTGCATTAAGTGAAACAAAACAGACAGATAAGTCAAACTTTACTCAACTCATTCTTCTTGCTTCCTCCACTTCCGTACCATTGATTCATTAATGTTGAATTCTCTTGCAGCTGCTCTATTCCCATGTTGTTGCAGTATATTAATGACTAACCTCGTATTGTGGATGGATTATCTCAGTTGTTCTCCTGACTGAAGTTTGGTCCGTTTACAGCATCCTGCCATGTGATTGCATTTGTCCCTTACCATCGGCAATCCTCGTGTTAACTTTTATCGAGTGGAAAAAAGTTAGCGTTCATCCTCCAGCTTCACTGTGTTTATGGTATGCTATCATAGCTGTGTTGCTAGGGATTAGTAGCACATCATTATATACCAGCTAGTCCAACTTCAGTAACTCTACAAAAGTCACTGCTGTTTAGTTTTCTGTCTTCATTTATGTTGGAAGTGATGTTTTCATGGATGCCTGGATGCTAAACTTAGTTGTTACACCTGGTAAAGCAGCAGCTGATCATTTTATTAAAGATGAAAGAATTTAGACAGTTTTGAACTCTCAGTCACGCCGCAGTGTTCGTTTGACTTTGGGACCTGAATTCTATGATGTGCTTCGTTAGTCTGTTTCTCAGCACTGACCCGAACAAACAAACAGAAACTTAAAATGACTACGGCCAAAATGCAAACACTGAGGCTTCAAAATGTGGAACCTAAAACCATTAGTCCATTTTTGTAATCTTCTTCTTCTTTCGATCTCTATAGCGGATCCCCTGCCTCCATCTCACCCTATTCCTAGCATCATATGCGTGCCTTCACTCCTGAAGCTCCATATTTAATGCCCTTTGTCAAGTGTAAAGTAAAAGTGTAAAGTAAATTCCCATATACTTTACACTTGCATATGGGAATAGATCATTTGTTTTTCTGGTGTTCTATTGCTAGCTTTGTACTCACTATAAGTGTAACATAATAAGAGGCACTGAGTTGCATTTGTTGTTACTTCAAGTTGCTGAAGTCTAGTGAGTCAAGCTACTGCTAAGCTAGCGTATGTAGACTCAACAGCGTCAGCCCAGTCAACACAGAACAGGACACAAAGTAGTGTGTCGGCAGGTGACAAGGCGATTGTGGCTCAAGAGTTGGGAGTTCGCCTTGTAATTGGAAGGTTGCTAGTTCGAGCCCCGCCTTGGACAGTCTCGGTCGTTGTGTCCTTGGGCAAGACACTTCACCCGTTGCCTACTGGTGGTGGTCAGAGGGCCAGTGTTCGGCAGCCTCGCCTCTGTCAGTGCGCCCCAGGGCGGCTGTGGCTACAATGTAGCTTGCCATCACCAGTGTGTGAATGGGTGGATGACTGGATGTGTAAAGCGCTTTGGGGTCCTTAGGGACTAGTAAAGCGCTATAAAAATACCGGCCATTTACCATTTACAAGGCCAGGGAGAGAGAAGACATGTGCCACTGCACACTTTACTGGAACTGGATTAATACATAATTCAACAGAGCCTAATAATTAAAAACATTTGCGATCAATGGAATTAAATGGGCTAATGTAAACTGCATGCTATCAACTATAATGTCCCCCAATCTAAAAAAAAAAAAAGACACCATTTATCCCTCCATCCCTCTTCAGCTGCATTAAACCCCCATCAAACAACAAAACACTGAACGTTCTAGCACAAACCTATCTCTGAATTTCCCCTCCAAACATGTCTAGGGCTTTTTGATACTAGCATCTCCACATCAATAAACACAGAAAATGCATGCCTTTCATGTCTAGTTGTCTCCTATGGCTTTTAGAGTTCCATTAACCATGTAATTAATACCAAGCAGCCTCTCTATCAAGTTTCCCTGGTTTGGGGCTTTGTTCTTAATAGCTAGTAAATAGCCACCTTGTTGCCATCCACTCCGTACCCACTCAAGGCTTTGAGACATCGACATTACATGTACCCAGAGATGATGAAGACCTTAGATAGCACATCATGCATTTATCTCCACGTTGATCACTTGCTAATTTCTTCTCCATCCTTGCTCTGTGGGCAGTAAATGCAACATCAAAGCATGTTAAAAGATGGCGTCATGTCTAGGCGGGAGAGGTGAGGTGTTTCTTTTGGTCAATTGCCGTAAACAGGACGCAGCCGGTTCAATTCTTGCAGGAGAAAAGTATTTTGAAGACAATTGTGGTCAAAATAAAGTAACCTATGGTTGTAAGTACCCTCACTGGCAACTTTAGGTACACCTATTCAACTTTTTGTTAATGCAGATATCCAATTATTCAATCACAGGGAAGAAACTCAGGAAAAACTCAGGCGTATAGAGGCGCATAGAGTCAAATCAACCTGCTGAAGTTCAAACATTAGATGCATCAGAAAGGGGAAGAAAAGTGATTTTGAGTTTCGTATGGTGTTTGGTCTGAATATTTCAGGAACTGCTGATTTTCTGATGGTTTGCCTGCACAGAGTGAAACAGAGTGAGCACCATTTCTGCAGTTCAAAATGTCTTGTTAATGTCGGAGATCAGAGAAGAGCGGAACTAATAGCAAAACCTGTTGTTACAACCAAGGTATGCAGAAGGGCATCTCTGAATGTACATCATATCAAACCTTGAAGTAGGTAGGGTATACAGGAAACTGAAGCTTGAATTTGCACAGACTCACCAAAATTGGTCTCAATTTCTGCCGCAACATTTCAATAGTAAACAAGATGAAATAGGTCCATCCGTTGCTTTATCAATAGTTTAGGCTGCTGCTGGTGATCTAATGGTGTGGGGGGATATTAGCTTTGTATCAGCTCAGCATAACTTTACTGCTACAGCCTGTCTGAATCTTGTTGCTGATCACGTCCATCTCATTATGAACGCAGTGTATCATCTTCTCATGGCTGATTCCAGCAGGTTAATGCGCCATATCACAAACCGCAGATCATCTCAAACTGTTTTCTTGGACAATAAATTGAGGTTATTGTATTCAAAAGGCCTCCACAGTCATCAGATCTCAATCCAATAGAGCACCAATAGAGTTGCATCACAGATGTGCAGCTGATAAATCTGCATCAACTGCATGATGCAATCATGTTAACGTGGTGAATCTGTGCCACAAACAATTAAAACAGCTCTGAAAGGAAAAGGGTGTCCAACCCATTGCTAGAGTGGTTTACCTAATGAAATATCAGTTGAGTGTATATTAGCTTTTCACTGGTACTGTCAGATTATTAATGGAGCTAAATTTCCCCAAATTAACAGTTTTCAGACTCACGAAGATGACAAAGCTTAAAACTACATGTTAGGAAGCTGCAATGAAAGACATCAAATTTCTTCTATTTTGAGATTTCATTATTATCTCCCACTTCAACATCTATATTACTGACAATTTGTAGTCGCAACCATTTATCTTGGTGTTGACAGTGTTTTCTGCTGAGACGCTAAAATTACAGCTGACTCTCTTGGTTTTTAACTCATTGCTTTAAATAAAATTTTAATAAAAGAAGTAGAATGGGAAGACATGCACAATATATATCATTATTGCTACAGACTACAACAATATAATTGATAAGAATAGCTAAAACGTGCATTAAATGTTTGCTGGTCATACCATCAGGGGGTCTGTTGGAGGTAGCCACCACCACCACTCCAGTTTTAAACAGCGTCTCAAACAGCTGCTTCAGGATCATGGCGTCGGCGATGTCTGCCACCTGATTGAAGAGAGCAAGAGAAGTCGAGGAGCATCTCATATTATTCTTTTCTTGCCACACCTGTGTGTGCACAAGTGTGTTTGAGGTCACAACAGTCCATGTTGATCAGTGTCATTCAGGTGTGCTCATTCAGTCCTTTTTGTGTGGTCATTGCCACCCAAACTTACGTGTATACACATGGATGCAAACACACACTCAGGCACTTAAATTTACTGCAAATGGTCAAGAACTGGCCTTCCGTTGAGTGGAGTAGCTGAGGCCAGGAAAAAGACCTGAGCTAATCAACGAAGCCGAAAAACAAGAGGAATGAAAGAATAATAAAAACAAAGCAATGCGAGGAAGGACTGGGGTCATGACGGCAGACAAAGCTTCTATCAAAGCATGTCCACATAAAGGCATATTAAAGTGTGCATGTGTGTTGTATGTACTAGACACAAGGCTATACGGTGTGACAATACATAAATCCAATTCAACTGTCTGCTGCCTTTTTCATCTACATCATTTCCATGAGTCCACAATGAACAAAGGTCGATGACAACACTGAAGCAAGGACGTTTATGAGTCGCTAGCTGTTAAATGAAGAGCTCTGACCTTTCTATTACTAATCCAGTGCTCTCACTTTTGTTCTTATTCTCTCGTCTGTGTCTCTCTCTCTCAAACCTATGTTGTTCTTTTGAACACCTATAAAGGGAGAAATGTTACCCTGTGATTGGCGGTTGTCAAAGCGACATTTATTTAACGTGATGCTCGACCGATGAAAGTTGGGCACAAAGGATTTCCAACCTCTCTGGTAACTTAAAGTTGTCGGTCTCATGCCAACAGTAATTTATATCCTGTTAAATGACAATGTTTCCTGCCAAGAAGATGTAAAAATGCACAAACAGAAAACCATTGTGAGAAAACCACCTCACTGTAATGCCAAATTCTTGACTCTTAAAGTACTTTTCTTGTTTAAAAACCCTAAAAGAAAATGTCTTGAATAAAAGAAAGACTTTGCAGTCATGCATCTGTCCCACCCTCTCCTCTTATTCCCTCTTACCTACTTTCCTGTATATAACAGGCACTTCTGATGGCCATACCCACAGCATATGCTTCCTTTCAGACTCTGGAGAGTCTTCTGCTTTTTGCATATTAGCCCCACTGCCCTTGCCAATACTTGATTAACATTTGTGTTAAAGCCTTGATTTTGCTAAGGAGAGGTGGCTAAGGGCATCAAATTAGCGTGTGTGTGTGTGACTGTGTGTGCGTGTAATGAGAATCAACAGAAAGCCAAGGCTCAGTGTCTCTCTGAAGGGGCCCCCATTTCCTGCGACCACAGGATTTTATTTTCATTTCAAAAGAATCATTTAAAAATGACCTTTTATACAACATGGATTTGTTTATTCATGTGCCCTCCACACGGGCATAGTATGAGGGGCAATATTGATTGCTGAATGACTAGGGGAAGAGGGAAAGAGAATGGGTACCCACAGGATGAGAAAGGTGGAGGGGGACTGATGTAGCACTTGTGGAGCACAAAAAAATAATGGTGCAATCTCTGTCAGCCATTGCCGATATTTAAATGAGCATCCAATTACTCAAGCGGCTGTCAGTTTACAGCGAGGCACACGGGTGCCAAATTAAACCTCTTTTGATGTTACACCTCTTTATGTACACAACCTATGAACAATTTCACAGAGGCTACACAGTGACTGAGGCCCTGAGACAATGATGCTCGAGCGTTTTCTTCTCACTCTTTCACGTTCTTTCTCACTCTCTACCCATCTTTCCATCTTGGACCTCTCAATGGCGAGTATTCATTAGAGGAGCCGGGTAGGGGTCGCAAAAGGAAGGAGGGGAGGAGAGCTGGGGGGGGGGCTACAAATTACTGATAATGGCATGGCGCTAATGAAGAGAATGGAAAAATGTCATTAGCATTTAAGAGGATAAGATCCATCTGACCCGCCGCCGCCAGTCGCTTTCTAGCTCCACTCACTTAAGGAAGCAGGAGAGTGCGACTGATACCCAGAGCTTCATTTGCATGGCTGAGTGGTGGAGGATGCTGATTGGTATAGCCCCTCGCACCCCCCACACCCCAAACCCCCAACTCTCCCAACCTCGCAACCTCTTATTTATGCATCACAAACAACGCGCACATGTCTACTTGTTTCCCCCGCCATTCACCGGTAGCAACAGTCGACAAGCAAAAACAGCAAAGCTGGCGACAGCAAACAAAACAAATCAATGAGAATGCACAAACAGCGCCGCGGTTTAAAATGTGAAAGACGGCCAGATGAAAGGAGCGGCTCTTGATCCACCCAGATGCACGGAGAGTGATTAGAGGGAGCAACTGCACCTTCTGTGACCTCTGACCTGCTGGCATTAACTGTAATGATATCAGTAAAAGGAGCAACATTGTGCTGCTAACAGATGTGTTTGGCTGGCTATTGATGAACGCAGAAACACGTGTTTTTCTTCACTACAGTGAATGACTAACAATCTCACAGAGAGTAGACAGCCTCAGTAGTGGTTCTCACCTCTAATGGTGAGAACATTGTGCATCACTAATGACTCAAGGGGGTCCTTTAGTTGTGTACAGTGTGGCTGTAATGGATTGAGAGCAAACTATTGTGAGATTAAACAATGTACCTTTATCTGTCCTAGTAAACTATGACTAAACACACTAAAGAGAGAAAATACAACTGGAAGTCATTTTGCAATTGTGCTATATTTAAAAGAGGCCACTAGGTGTCCCCAGTCCTGTTTTTTTATTCGGATTAGAAGCACGCAGTTGTTCACAGGAGAACTCAAAATACAGAGAGTGCAACATTGAACAAGTTTTTTCTAGTTCCTTATCTTGACAGAAATAGAGGTCAACCTTGAAGCAATTGCTGCCAACTGCAGGAAATAAACAGCAGTTTATCGCTTTGTTTTATTCTTTAAAGATTTTAAGATGTCTGATTTGTGAGTTTCTGCTGACCCAGCATTCAGTTGGGTTGTTGTACAATAAAGCAACACTTTGGTAAAAGCCAACTAGACAGATTCACTCTAAACAATGTGAAATATTAGGGAATAAAACTTGAAAACTTCATAAACTCCCAGTTATTTCTTTTCTCTTTGTGACCTCTTTTAAAACTAGGAAAAAGCACACAGATATTATTTATGAAACATCCAGCCTGACTTGACAGACACGTATCCCCGTTTTATATTAATAGCACATGTAAACAATAGCATGGCAAAAATATAGAAAATTTAACTAGCACTATATTTATCAGTGAATATATAAAGCACATGGCTTTCAATTAATGTGTGAAAACCCCTAGTTCGACACCAGGAGGAGGCACAAATCACTGGCGAGGCATCCAGGACAAAAATATATCCACATCAGACATACTGAGCCATCCGCTGTGGTGATCGTTCGCGAATGAGGGAGCAGCTTTAGTCAGTATATAAGTGCAGTAGTTACAAATATCGAAACACGTAACAGTATTTAAAATTCTCATTGTGTAATGTTCCGCTTTACAACAGTGCCTGTGACATGGTTGCTCACCTGAAACTCGTCAAAACACAAGAGGCAGGTCTCACTGCTGATCTCCATGGCAACCGGTGATATGGGGTCATAGGTGAACATTTTCCCTAACCTCCGTTTTGGCAGGCTTTGTTTCCTCCGATGGATCCCTTTAAAGCAGCACACAAACGTCAGGCACATCTTAAAGCACACCTGCGTCGGCAACCCAAACCCACTGACAGTGCTGAATAAAGCAGTAATTTCACCTGTGTGCATAATGGTAGACAATTAGCAGGACGGCTTCAGGACAAACAGAGGGATAAATATAGGATCTCCGGTGCACGGGGAGTCGGAAAACTTCTACAAAGTCATGCAAGGAAACGTTGGGCTGTTAAAGCTGAGGAATGGGAGGATGCTACTAACTTTTGTGGATGTCCAACATGAAGCCGTTGAAGTGGACTCGCTTTTTGCGACTGTTCTTCACATGGGAATAAAACAGATCCATAAGCATGGTCTTCCCTGTGCCTGAAAAGGTGGGAAAACCAAACCAAAGTTATTATGATAACCACAGAGATGTTAGTTTGTATAATGATAGGAGCTTTTTCTGTATCCAAGCTCACCAACATCTCCATATATATAGAAGCCTTTGGGTGGTGGTGCTGGTGGTGGTGGAATGGGTTTCTCCTTTGGGACAAAATATTAAAATTAAGATGATTGTAGTGCGTTTTTTTTGCTTTTTTACATGAATCTCAACCAACATAATCGCTGAAATTTATGCACAGTGATTATTTCCACTCTATAGCTAATGACTTAAATAAACTTCTTCATATTGATTCCAATAAATGTCTGAAACATCATCTAATAAACAAAGTATGCTAAGGCATTAAGCCACCACTACAGTGTGAGGTTTCACAATCTCCAGACTAGCCCACTGCAGGGGAGGAAGACAAAGGGGATCTAATCAACAAGACAAGCCAGGGTTCCCACGAAAGAAAAGCATCATCAGAGGAACAATGGAGGGATTTGTCAGACAAAACGGAGAGGACTGGATGAGGCTCCATACGAGATGGAGTGGACTTGTCTGTGCAGCCTGTTTAGCGCTGCTAATTGTGATACGGTACTGTTGCATTGAGGTGCTGCTGGAAGTCATTGTGCTGCCTGCCTCCTATTATCAAAAGGTCTTTGCTTCAAAAAAAAAAAAATCTTCTGTGTGGAAGCTGAGAATATCGAGTAAAGCCAAAAAGGACCCAAGCCATGTGAACGAATGTGCCGTCAGCTTAATCATCTGTAATAACAATGTGAAGAATATCTATGGGTGGCCAAATTATGGATCTTTTTATCGCCTTTAAAAAAACCGCTGTTGTTCAGGATCGTCCATCTCTGTAACCGGGCAACACCAAATAGCTTTGGAATTAATCACTCACTAAACAAAAAAAAGTACTGGCCTCTTTGGATTTAATTTAGTTAGAGGACGGTACTCTGTGTCCACCGAACTCAGTGTCCATGCACAAGGGGCACTTGACTCTGGTAAAATGTGGACAATGGCAGTTTGAAATCTAAATTAAAAAACAAGCTTGCTATCCAACCTCTCTCTCTCTCTCTCTGTCTATTCCCGCTCCACCCCTCTCTCCTTTTTACCCACCCCTCCATCCACTGCCAGTCCTGGGCTGGATGTGAAGTACTGGAAGAGCAACAAGCCTTTCCTGTTTGCTCTGGCATAACAGTGTGTGACTTCTCCCTGACTTCCCAAGCTGCCCTCTAGCATGGCGGGGTAATTGTCAGTGGCTGGAAACCATTCTGCTACGGCAGAGTGGCGAAGGACAAGACCGTCCCTCAGCCACTCTGTCTAACTGAGCTCATGCTGCAGGATATAGACTGGCACATGAGTGGAAAGTTCACATGCAGGACATGGTCATTTTGGCTTTAGGAAGAACTTCTTTTGACCACTGCCAAAAATGACTCGCAGAGGCATGGTCGGCTAAGATCGTCAGAGCCCAAGTCAAGTTTAATTCACACAACTGTCCTGCTGGAGGCCTACCATGTGCAGGAGGACTCCATGATGCAGGTCTGTCTTGAAGAGGGTGGATCCCACTGAACAATGGCCCATTGTCAGCCAACCATCCGCAAAACCACGCCACATTGGGTCAATATTAAGTCAAGTGTACTCTCCTCACAGACTTGATCAGTTAGTGAGGACAATGGCGGCACTTTCACAGAGAGAACAGACACCAAAAGGACAGTGGTATGACCTGATTCAAACTGGAATAATTGCATAAGTACTCCAGTCAGTGTGTGTGTGTGTGTGTATGTGACAGACAGAGCAAGAAGTAAGGTGCAAAAGGAGAGGGGTGGGTGTGAGGGTGGTTGGTGGTGGTGGTGTTGATAGCCTACCACCAAAGTATTTGTCAGAGTCCCAAATCAAAAGCAAAAAGGACAAGAATGGCTGAGACAATGGGGATCCCCTCATTACTGCCCGGGGACGGTGAGAGAGTGAGAGGGGTGCCGGGACGGGCCCAGCGGGAGGTCTGCCCTGCTGCCTTCCAAAATCTGTGCCTAACTCTGTGTGTCTGTGCCAGCCAACCAACAAAAAAACTCCCACCACCAAATAGTAGACAGTCAGCTCCCCTGACCTAAAAACAACAACAGCCCCCCTGCATTATGCCGTTCCAAAACTCACATGCACAATAAACTTCCCAGACCCCTACCCTCCCTTTGACCTAAGCCCCACGGCCACCATCGATGATACAACAGGAGAACAGGGAAGTCGACTCTGTGAAGTCCGTCCATATGTTAGATGTCAGTGGTGCTTTTTAATCCAACGACAATCCGGATCCAGACATATCTATGCTGCCTTATGAATCCTAAACTGTTCCCCAAATAATGTCCAGCGTAATGCACCCTAATCCAAACGATGCAAATCCGATGCTTTCAGTTTTTGTAATTTTTATTTATTATGTAGGAATTTTTGGAAGAAATAACACTGGTCTTGACCCTGAAAAAGAGTATAAATACCCTTCAAGACTGTCTCATTAGCTTTTTTCCCCGAGGCTTTCAACAGTATTGCATGGTCTTCATCGGTGAATGGAGTTTGTTCAGTTGTCACTTGTCAGTCTGTTGCCATGCAACATGCTAAAAAGCTTTTTTTTTTTTTTATAACAGCTACTGAGCAGGTATATTTTAATAGTGTAACAAACTACCTTCCCTGATGATGAAGACTGTGTGAGATGTGGTTGAAAGCGCTGGAAAAAACTGCAAAGTGAACCTCAAGTTTAGAGTGTTTTAAATGTTTGTCCGCATGGCTCATCCGTCTCCTCGCAGAAAATGAAACTTGTTTAAAATACAGTGAAACACTGAGGCTCTAGTTGCTTTAGGCCACAGTGATTAGACCTCTAGTGAAGTCTGTTGTTCTTAAGTTTAACTCTGGTGCTCAAAAATGTCGACATGAGGTTGTTTAAAATTAATCAAGGGTTTGATGATGCACCTTTCGATAAAAACAAATATCATATTTCATGAGTACAATAAAATATATTATTACAGTTAAGTGAACAATGCATTTTTTTACTTTTTACATTCAATTACAATAAATTTGATTTATTTATATAGCACCAATTGACAACAACAGTTGCTTCAGGGCATTTTACACTGTAATGTAAAAACCCTACAATGTTTAAAACAAAGCTAGTGAAGAGAAGCCAGTATAGGAGAAATATGCTCTCTCTTTCTCGTTCTTGTTTGTACTCTCACTGGAGCATTTTGGATCAACTGAAGGCTTTTTGGGAAACTTTTAGAACAACCTGATATTAATGAATTATAGTAGTCCAGCCTACAAGTGAGGAATCTGTGTTGCTCTGAGACAGGATGTTTCTAATTTTGAGGACATTGTGCAGAAGAAAGAAAGCAGTGCTAGATATTTGTCAAGGTAATGTCATGTAAAAGTGAAATATCTAAAATGAATTTCTAGTGAGACACTGTTTTTCTAAGATGTTTTAGGTCTGAGTACTGTGACCTTTTTTTGTCTGAATTCAGAGGTAGGGAATTAGAGGTCATCCAGGCCTTTATGCCAGTATGATATGCCCGCAGTTTAACAAATTGATAAATACAAGGTAACTGAGATAAAATATTTTGTGACTGAAAGATAGAATTGTTTTTACACCGCCACTGTGTGTGTGTGTGGATTTCAAATCAAACAATCAAAATGTGATTGAAGTGCAAATTTTTAGCTTTAAATTCCAAAAACAGTTAATGCAAAGTTAATTACAACTATTTTTTTATACATAGTACTCTTTTTAGAGGCTCAAAATTAATTAGACAAAATAACGTGATGAACGCTGACCGATCAAGTTTTGCAGCATTTGCCTGAATCTGAACGGAGAGTATAGCCCATCACACTTCGCAATTAATCCTCCTACTTCTATTAGCATTTATGTCATCACAAGTGACTCAGTTCTACAGAGAACCATTTATGTCAATGCCAAAATACTTTTCTCATTGTCTCATTATTTTCATTCAAGTTCATCTTAGTTTACCCAAATATTTGTTTTCAAAACTACGCAAGCTCTCTTTGGTTGAGGTGTACAGAAGCAAAACGACAAAAAAAAATGTATCTCTCAATCAAATGAAGAAAGAAGAAGATGACATTTACCAGTGTCATGCACTTAACCATGTGTTACAACCAAGGTATGCAGAAGAGAGTCTCTAGACCTACAACGTGTCCAACCTTGAAGCAGCTAAGACCACATCAAGTGCCATTCCTGTCTGCTCAGAACAGAAAACGGAAGCTATAATTCGCATGTGTTGACCAAGACTGGACAATAGAAGATTAGAAAAATGTTTCCTGGTCTGATGAGTCTTAATTCTTATTGCAACATTTCAATGGTAGGTTCAGAATTTCGTGTAAACAACATGAAAGCACGGATCCATCCTGACTTGTATCAACGGTTCCAGCTGGTGGTAAAGGTGTGCGGGATATTATCTTCAGCCTTTTAGTACCAAATGAGCATTGTTTGAAAACCTGAGCATTATTGTTCACCATGTCCATGTCTTTTTTATGACCACAGTGTAACCACTGCTTCTAATAAGATAACGCACCATGTCACATACCTCAAATTCTCTCACACTGGTTTGTTGAACATGGCAGTGATTTTGCTGTACTCAAAGAAAACCTTTGTGATGTGGTGAAAGAGGAGATTTGCACCATGGATTTAAAGCAACTGTGTTTCTCTGTGTCTGAGAAATGTTACCAACACCTTGTTTAATCTAGCCCATAATGCACTTCTGTAGGGGAAGGGGGGTGTACCTAATAGAAGAGTGTAATATATTAGTAAGTATACATAGATTGAAGAAAAAAAGTTCTGATTTTTTGCAGTAACTGACTAGCTGTGGTATATATTGGGGATAAAAACTGGCAAGTTGTATCTTCTCTGAAAAGCCAAACCTGCCTTATTCACTCCAACCATGGTCACCACAACTTCTCTGTGATGATATATGAACAATCCTGTCATTACCTTTTCAGTGAGCTCACTGCCTTTGTTTTCGGCTGCTCTGGTGCCACTGTGATGTTGGCTGCTGTCATCTTTTGAGTTTAGAATGTCTTGATTCAAGTAGATACTGTTACTGTAGCTCTTGAGGCTGTGCTGCAGCTGGGCCAGCTGCTGGAGAACCCGTCTCTGTTGGGCATCCCTCCTCAGGAAGCCACCCTGAACGAGGCTATCAAAGTGCACAAGAGTTTCACTGGAACCACACGTGTCTGCTGCTGGAGGAGCCGAGGAGCAGGACGATGCAGATGAACAGCATGCCCTCCAACTACTGTAACCTTGAAGCATTACACCAGAACACGTCAGTGTTACATGCAAACATAAAATATGCCTGGATATAGTATAATCCAGATGTTATAATATGAGTCCAGTAAAGCTGTATTAAAACATGTCGTAGCAATAAATGTGTAGTTGTAGCACACGGAATCTAGATAGAGGAAATACAGTCTGAAACATTTCCCGGACGGGTTAGTCTCTGCACGTTGGCGCAGAGTCGCCTACCTTTTCCAGAGAAACTGCTCGACAAACGACAAATCTGACGTGAAATCAAAGGAGAGTCTTTGAGGAAAAACTTCAATGAGCGACTGACAGCGGCAGCAGCCGTGTAAGTCGCCATGATGTTTCAAAACGCTAAAACTTTATTGAGATTCATCCACACAAGCATTTCGCAATAGCACGACGAAGGGGCGTTTAGAATATTTCAAATTTAAATAAATGTCACGAATGTATCTCAACTCTATAGTATCGATACACATAAACCTATAAGATTTTGCATCAAAGGAACAATATAATTATACATTTTTATAAAATGTATAGTTTGTATTCTGTATTTTGTCGATTTTCTTTCTCCGTTTTTGACTATAAAGTGGTATGGATTGCTAATTATTATGACTAACCCTGTGAACTAGGGCTTTTAAGGAGAATAATATAATACTGACCATTAAATTTCTATATTTCGATCGCTTGGGGTGTGACAGTAACAAGTTTACGTTCTAGCAGCCAATTTATATTATTAGCTGTGTTTGATCTGGGTTGTAGGGTAAAATGAACACGTTTGTGTCTGTAGTGTAGTAATCGATGTGTGTAATGTGCCCGCTGGCAGGTTGTAAATAAATCGAGCAGGGGGTGACAGAGAAGCGTCAGCTGAACCTCAGCTGATCGGAAGTTCAGCTCTACGGCATTTCAAGCTGGCGAGAGTAAGTGACTGGGTGATACCGAAATTTGCTCGGTTTGCCTTCAGAATAAACTATGAAAATTTTATTTTTAGCTCTAGCAAGAACAACATTCACGTGGAGAAATGAAATAAAAAATATATCTTATCTTTAAACTCGGATAAGTCATGAAATCAGACCGTATTTTAACGTAAGTCTTCATTTTACGTACACAGCATTCACCAAAATCCTTTATTTTGAAGGCCATCAAGGTGACGTGCATATTCGTAATCTGACTAACTTCACGCAATCCCCAGGCTGCTAGAAGGAAAGGGAGACATGGCTGAAACCATAGCTGATACAAGAAGGCTTTACACCAAGCCTCAGAACTTAAATGACGCCTATGGACCTCCGAGTAACTTTCTAGAGATTGATGTAAGCAACCCTGAGACGGTCGGGGTGGGCAGAGGCAGATACACCACGTACGAAGTCAGACTGAAGGTGAGCCTACCGTAACAAGTGCAAATGGCGCTAGCTTTTAAGCTACACACCTAAGCACGCAAACATATCTTTTCTGCAGTCACAGAAAGTTGTAATTTTTCTGACATCGCGATTTTTGCCGCCACTAAGACATTCAAAGGGTCGATGTTTAAAAGTGTGGGCTATTAAGAAGTATCAAATTGTCCGTTGCTAAAGGAATTAGTCGACGCTTGCTAGGAAGCTAGCAGCCTTTATCTGACTGCACGGTTACCTGACGTTACACTGTCTGCTCAACGTTGTTGGTGTACATAAAGCGGTTTGACTGCATGTTAATTAAAACATAATTAAAAGTGTTTGATAACGTGTGTCTGTTGACGGCGACATTGCTCCGGGAAAGAAGGGGTGTGCGCGCGTGTGTGTGTGTTTACATTAGCCTCAAGTGTTTTTCCACAGCGCAGCTGAAACATGTCTACAAATAAACTGCAGTTATATAACCTCGGTTTAAGCGAAACACATAACCTTCTCAAAGACTTAACGTCTTTCTGAACAGTTGATCTCCAGCCACACCCCATTGTCTGAGTGCAAACCACAGATAACAGCATTGGTCACACTTAATGACAAACCTGAGGTGAGGACTGGCCTGTATGACTAAATGGTGGACTGGGACATAATGCGAACATTTTGGTTGATATAGTATTTTACTTTGTAGCTTTTCTGACGTGACAAATCACCAGAAGCCACCCCAAGTACTATAGGCTAAAGGAGAACATACTTTTGAGTCAGCTTCTCTGGAGCTATAAAGACAGGATGCAGGATGCTGCCTGATCCTGTCCAGTTTCACCCACCCCCTTACAACACACTTCCTTCCTCCAACTTGTAGAGGAGAACAAAAGGTGTTTTTTTTTTTTAGTATAAAGAATTCTTTTTGTTACTTTACTATCTATTTGGCTGTCAGTGTACATTTTTTTTAAAATTTGAAATTCTGGGATGGCAGCTAATGCTGTGTAGAAATGCAACAGTGTTGTTGAGCAATAGGTCGGGATGACAACTGTTAGAGAGTCAGCAATTGCAAAACACATCCTGTGTATCTTTCTGTCACTGCAACTTTGTGGTCAGAGTAAAAATCAGCCTGGAATAGCTGAGGTCAGCTGATACATTTCTTTCAGTGCTGATACAAATCACTAGTAACCAAAATCAAACTATTAAAATAACAAATCATAGTCAACATTAACTCCAACACTAACCTTTGTTAGGCTTTTTGTGTCTTAAAACTGTTGCAATGTAACAACAACAAAAGAACAAATGTATCTTTTTAAGATCTGTTCTCAAAGATGAAGTGTATTTTTTTTCTGGGAACTTGTAATTATAGAAATAAATCACTGTAATTGTGATATTTGGCAAAATAGTTAGTTCGGTTAAGTATTTGGAAAATCACACATTTTTTTTTTTTGCCTCTTTACACAACTGCTGTGGATTTTAACTAAACTCTCCAGATGTGATAGAACTGCAATGATGCACCCGCATCCTCATGACTTGGTGACAGCTTTAATTCAAGAAGCCTTGAACCAATTTTTATACATTTTCCCATTTTTAGATGCTCAAAAATAATGTCAGTCAATAATAACTGACTGACATTTTCTTTGTCAGATGAGATCTTTTCCCTTGTTGTTTTATTGCAAATTAAGCAGATGAAAAACAAAGATGCCGATGCAAGTAAAGGAGGGCAATAGGTTGAAAACCTAAAATAAACCTAACAGAGAGGTGGAAATGATCAGACTGGCCAAATCAGCAACACCAAAAGGCCTGAAAGACTACAGAATACAACTAAAATAGGGGGTTTCCATGGTTAAGGAAAGCAGCTTCACAACATCTAACCAAGTCATGAGGCGGTCTACAGTCAAGAGATACCTTCATAAATGTAAATAACAAAGGGTTTACAACAAGGTGCAAATCACTGGTTGCACTCAAGTACAAGCAGCCCTGATTAGACTGTCAGAAACCATCTAGAAGAGTCTGCTTAGTTTTGAAATAATATTTGAACACATGCAAACAAGATGAACTTGTACCAGAATGATTGGTGTGCAGACTTCAATCATACTTGAAGAGAAAATAATGGAGAGGGAGAGAAGTGGATCATGATCTAAAGCATGCCATATTACCTGTCAAACATGGTGGAGACATTTTTTATGGCACTTTCATGTATGACTGTCAGTGGAATTAGTGTTTATTTATTATGTGACTGTTGAAAAGTAGCAGAATGAATTGTGAAGACTACAGGGCTATACGTTCTGCTGAGATTCACTCAAAAGATCCTGCAAAATGGATTGGACAGTACTTCATAGTGCAAATGAGTAGTGTCCCAAATCATACTGCAAAAGCAGCCCAAGTGTTTCTCAACTCAAAGAAATATTGTGAAGTTCTTTTTTTTCTTCAAGTTGGTCATCAGATCTAAAGTAAATAGAGCATGCTTTTCACTTGCTGAAGACAGAGCTAAGGTTAGAGAAATCAGTTGGACACCTTTTGGAGTAAATGTGTCAAAGCAAGTCACAGGATGAAACAGCATATTAAAAGCACTCCTTAAAATGGTTAGCTTCTATAATTACCTTTGAGCCTCTAGAAATTTATATGTATAAAATGTCTGTAAATCCCCTGAAAGTCTGCATTTCTATCGTGTCTCGATAGTTTGATTTATAGTCCACTGTGATTGTGTCCTGAGACAAGAGTTGTGTCATTTTCCAAATACTTATGGACCTAAATGTATCTGGCAATCCACCTTTGAAACATCAAACCTGCTTAAATCTGCAAATGCTTTTCTTTGATCCTGTTTATGGCACAGTACCCACAGTGTTGATAGGATAAATGTCTTACAAAATAAAAATGTAAATATAAGCTAAAGGTCGCTTGCTCTATTATTGGAGTTTTAAATCATATCATACATGGAAACGGGAGTTTACGTGGTTGTCATAAAACTATCAATTTTAAGAGTTTTTTAGAACAATGAAAAGTTTGAACGTTTTTATTTCAGTGACAACTTAGCAGTCTGCCTGTGCTGATAATCTCAGTGAAAGCTCCATGGTGAGCAAAGCAACTTGGACAACCTTGGACCGTTTGCTTCAGCTGCTGCTGCTTTTGTCAGATATTAAATGTCATGCCTACATCAGGAATTTTGTGAGAATGCTAAAATATAACTCTTATTTGACATGCAGACACAACAAGCAGGCAGTTAGATTCACGAGAAAAGAAAAAAGACACATTTTAGCTGGGTTAGCCACGAGGTAAACGTTGTATTTTTTACAGTATTTTCAAGCTTTAAGAACTCTTTTAAAGGCTTGTCAGTTTTGCCACATAAGCCAGGCAATTTTGTATAAATGTAACTATTATTGGACCTTTTGTGTTCGATTTTAAATACACAGACTGTCAGACAGTCACTATAGGCTCATCTGATTGCTCCATCTCCTCATCTCTAAATTGTCATCTTGGTTGACTGACACCCCTGTAGTTACTGGCCCGGAGTATTTAGATTGGTTACCAGCCCTCAAGTATTTAGTCGTTTTCCTTTACCTTTAAGAAACGAGTTGAGAGGAGAGAAGCTGTCTCCAGGCATTAGCGTTGAATATAAGGCTACTGTACTTGATTAGCGTGTAATAATTAGCATATGCGTGTAATCAGCATTATTGTGCACCTCATAGCCCTGTGTGACCCTGCTTTGCATAAGACCACAGAAGAAGCGGTGCATCCCTCACTTCTCAACAAACGTGGTGTCAACTTAGCTTTGCTTCTCTCCTTCTCCTTTCTTTAGCTTTCTTTGGAAGCGTTTTACTCCATCTCCAGCCATTAAAGAGTGTTTGCCACAAGGCCTAGGTCTGGAATGCGTAGTGTTTGCTTTGCCCCTTCATTGCTTTTTTTCCCCCTCTTCCCCCTCTTCATCTACCTTTCTTTTAATATTTCAGAATACTTGAAATATATCATCTCATTACTCTGTACTGTTTCCGTTCCTAACCTTTTCCCCTGTTCTCACTGCTGTCCCGCTATCCACCCCGAAATCGAGAGAGCTCTTGTGGCCGCAGTGAGAGAGTCTGCCTAATCCCCTCATTGAGAAAAGAGAAGAATTGAACCAGGCCAGGGTGGCTGGGTGGGTGTGTGTGTGGTGAGGGGGAGCTGGAGCATTTACTCCCCATCCTCACCCTCCAACTCACCCCCCCACCCATGGGAGGGCAGAAAGCCACCCCCTCACCAGATTTCACCCTGTTGCCTACTTTTCCCATTTTACTCCCAGCTGTGTGCAGTCACTTTCCTGGTTCATACCGTGTTACCATTGTTCCCCATGATAACTGAAATCATCAAGTTTGCTCCGAGACTGTTGAAATAAGAGTCATTCATTTGGCTTGTGACTCACCGGCGGTGTTGGGATGCTCACAAAGTTAGTGGCGAGACAAATTGTTTAAACATTGTTTACTGTGGCTGTGAGGCATAGTCACCTGTTGGCAGACGGGCCTGCGTTTGGCGTTTGAAATTAATGGGATCAATCTCTCACTCTATGCATCAGTTTTTTAACGAAGTGGAAGCTAAGTTCACACCGAAAGGAGGCGGATATCTCATTTTGCATGAGCAGACTCGTAATGTCGGGGGTCATGCTGAAACAATGGATATCTGTTCCAATCCAAATCCCTTCGTTTTAAGGGTAGTTTTTGAAGTGGCTTACGGTTGCTTTTTTATGCTTCTGCACATTTTTCATGTTCCTAATGGAGAGAGTTGTTTTTCATGAGTCCTATCATATCACCTTAATGGTCTTTTACTTTTTTCTGTGTAGTGTCTGGCAATACAACATAGTGTATTTGTTTGGACCCTCAGCAAACAGGGGGTTGGAGCTGGGATGGGGGTGTATTGGGGGTGTATGTGTGTGGAGTAGGAGGAATGGGTGATGGATATTATCAAAATTTTAGTTGGTTCCCATCTCATCCAGAGAGCACATTCAGGGGAGCGAACTTTGGGATCTCACTTTGTTTATGGATAGGAGTACA